GGTTCGGAAATTATTTCTTCTCTCTCATAGTCTAAGTCTCTTGTAAATCGTCACTGCTAAAAGTGGGCCAAACAAACACAGAAGCATAAACACACAAATCTCTGTCAGTATCAAGAAATGTAAACTCTTGACATATTCGAAGAGTTATCAGATGTTGGAAATTATAGCATATAGCAGAAATTTTAAAACTAAAGCAAACTTTTACAAATTAACTTCTGTATTCTGCACTATCCAAATCTTCCCTCCAGTCCTCACTAGTGAACATAAAAAGAGAGAATGACAATTTGGCCTGGAGGAATTTACGGGTATCCTGAGCAGAAAGCGGTAAAGAACAAATAAGTTCACGTTAACAGAGTACTCTGGCATTAGGCTCTAAAGGAAGTCTCTACTGAGAAACAATTGTTCAAAAAAGAAAAAAAAAGAGAACAAAACAAAAAAAGAAAGGTCTAAAGAGCAGAATAGAGGGACCAGCTACACACGATAAGACGTATAGAGCACAAGTGAGATGCTCAAGGGGCAGGCACGCAGTGGAAGAGACAGGTGTGGATGGAGAGGTAGTGCATATGCTGTCAGGTGCCTTCTGTACATGAATCGATAGAAAATAGCTTTTCACTAGGGTCTCCCAGAGCTTCAGAGAGGTCTGGGCTACTTCCTTTTGGAGATGGAAGTCTCAAAATGAAGGAATTCCTAAACATCACCAGAAAAGCAAACCCTATTTTCAATGTGAACAATTAAAAAGTTAAAGCTGAATGTTAAATGTTTTCAACTTTCAATCCTGTCTGCATATCATATGATAATTTATAGCATACCATTTCAGGATAAGGCTAAATTTATGTCCTTTTATGAATGTCAGATATAGTCAATTGGTTGTCCTTTCTGTTACCTTCTTTTATTCATAGTCAGAAAGAGGTTAAACTCTTCCTAGAGAGAAAGAGAAAATATTTGAAAGAGGGAAGCTAAAAGAAAAAAGGAAAGAGGGGAAATAGGGAAAATAAAAACACAGTGCATGATGTAGATGACCTATCATGGATTTGTGAATAGAAAACTTGATAGAGAGTAATAAAATAATGTTTGCTAAGTGATCATTGAAGGCCTTAGTGCTGTTGACGGTATTAAATAAAAGGGCAGTTTTTGTTCCCTGGTCCCAAGAAGTTTCTAGCAAGAGAGAAAACACTAACCTACTTCACACAGAGGACCGGGCTAAAATCTGATACTTACTTTACATACAAAAAGATTTGGGAGGAAGGAGAGGTTAATACCAGTGATCAATTTTCTCCATTTGTACAATTGAAAGTAAAATAATAATATAGCCTATCTTACAGTATTATTTCAGTATTACTGGTAGAGCATTTATCTAAGTACTGGAGAGAGAAAGCATTTAGTAATGCTGCTTGTTAACTCACTAAACATATAGCAATATATAAAGCCTTTTAGTGAGTGGGGAAAGGCAACCAAAAGGCATAGAAATACAAACTATAGGGACTATGGTACACATTTAATAGTTACTAAATTTTCAAGGGGATAAAAACTACACAATTTTCAAGATTATGATTAAACTGATCATTTTGTTGCCAGTTACAAAAACATATCGATACTTTGGGCAAACAATATGACAACATGTAGTATTTAAAAAAAAAAAAAACAACACAAAAAAACAGGGGCATGTGATTTAATAAAGTATTCCAGGGTTAGCATTTCTCCTAGGAAAGAAAAGAAACGTTGACAAACAATGGGAGTTTTACTCTAATTACAGCTATTTTAGTAGGAGACTGCAATTAACTTAAAATTCAAATAAATAAGGGTGTAGGAATGGTTTGGTATGTTACAATGCCATCAACCTGATGGACAGTATGTGTTACTAAACATGGTGACTCTACCTACAATATTCAGTCTGTAAAGCATTTATAATAAACCACAAAAACAAATCCCACAAACGATAAAGAGTAAAATTGGAAAAATACGGATCAAAGTTAAATATTTTTGGTCACTCAGGACTTTGATCAGCAAGGTAAATAGACAGTGAGACACTTGGAGGAGATATTTGCAAAGTCTAAAGTTGACAAGGTATTACTACCTGGAGCAGATTAGGAGTTCTCTTAAAAATAAAGGAGATCAATAGAAAATAAGGAAACATAGGCAATTCTCAGAAGGCAGAACCTGATCAACTCTAAATAGATGAAGTGATGCTCAACTGAAATGCCAGTGAGAGGAATAAAAATAAATGTAGTAACATTCTACTGCCATCCACTTGCAAGACTGAGTTATGTAATGCTGTGTGATGAGCTGATGGCAGGACAGACTCCCTTCTGCTTTGCAGGAGTGTGAACTGGTGCACTCATTCCGGAAGGAGTCTGGCAGCAGCAGTCAATGGATTTATAAATGTGTATATCTTACCACCAAGCAATCCTTCGCTCCTGGTACAGGCCCCAGAGAGAATGCCTAACAGGTTCATAAGGGGACACATTTGTGTGGTTTATTGCAATGTTGTTTGGGACAGAAGGAGTTAGGGACAATTTAGGTGTCCACTCCTGGGAAGTTAAGTAAAATCTGGTGTATTTACACAATGACAAAATGGGCAGCAGTTGGAAGAAATGAACTCATTTTAAATATATAGATATAGATTCATGACTAAACACTAACAATAAATAGATGTAATAAGAAACAGAGTGAAGTTTATAACACAAATAAGGCTTTTGCAATTTAGAGCACATTCACATACACCCAACTACATGCTATTTACTAGAACGACACACATGTAACCACATAACTATATGGAAAGTGGATTTGATGAACATATACTCTACAGACGATTGAAGTGAGGATTGGAGACTGAAAATAAAATAAAACCAGTTAGGGGTCTTGCGCAGAATGATGATAATCAAAGGCCATACACTGAAGAGTAAAATCAACTCAAGTCAGTGCACCTGATGTTAAAAGAAAAACGAAACTGAGATGTATATAACTTTAAATGAAAAAAGCTGAAAGAATGCATAATTGTATGCAAACTGGTTGAAATAACAATAAAACAAAGCACAAGCTAATGTTTATTTGAATTTAAACTAGGACACAAAAATGATTTACAAACTGATTAAAGTTACAACAAATGAAACATACAAAATGGTACATACACCAATTGAAACTGCCTAAAAAAATGTATTCATTGGAGTTGGTTAGGGCCTTGTTATGCCCTCTGAGTTTTCCTGACACCATCTTCTAAGAAAAAAGTTTTATCAGGACAGTTTAAGGGCGAAAACACTATGAAACCATTTTGGTGGGGCATCATCTTTATTTTCTGGCCTTCCTTTCATCAGTATCTCCTCCTCTTCCATGCACCGGGCTTGAGGGCAAGCTCTCACGGCCTCTCCCCTATCCAGCCCCAGCGAAAGCTGAAGTGATAACTCAGACAAGGCTTTAGGTCCTTTTCTGTCCTTCCTTTGGGCTCTGTGAGCACATAACTGGTAAGGTAAGAAAGGGTCGACTTACTCATCTGGGGAAGAGCCATTGCTGCCCTCAGCACTACTCCCACAAGCTGATGCCATTGGGAGTGAGGTCTAAGGAAAAGGAGGTCACTAGGATGGATTAATCAAAATCAAAAAAATCCTCCTGTCACCCTTATACAAAACAACTCCCTAAACCAGATTATCCACTGGGGTGCGGACAAGTCCAGTGTCTTAAAGCAGCCTCACATTTGACTCTGTCTCCTATTCATGTCTCTCCTGGACTTTTCAAAGGAATTTGGCTACAGAGTTACTGCAGAAAAACTGTAAAAGAGGGATCAAGGCCCTGTTTACTATCTGAGAATAAAGCATGATATAAGTAAAAAAATTAGAGCTTGTTCTTTAAAATTGAAATAGCAATTTTAAGCAGTAGTAGAATTATAGATGATTGTTTTCTCCAGTTTTACTCCTTTTAAATAAATATATACATACTCCATTACAACAGCAAACAAAAGCATACTTCATGGCCTATTGTTGGCCAGAGTGCCATTCTAGTAATGAATTGCATTATACAATTAACAAGTGTCCCATTGTGTAGCTAATTAGTACATTCATCCTTTATGGTTTTAACTGTTAATAATATAGTCATAAGTAAATGCTTTGTCTCCCAATATGAGCACCTTCTACATATCTTTGTAGCTTGTATATCATCTAGCACAAAGCTAAGAGTATAATAGTACCTATAGGAGAAATAGGAAAAATTCTAAAATGGAAATGATTATTTCTAAATATCCCACACATAGAGAATGTCTTGCATCTTTCTCTACCTTTTATCAACCTTATTTTTTCCTTTTTTGGCTTTTGTTGTGGTGGTCACATGAGGAATTCTTTTTTCTGATTTCTCTAACCTTACTCTGTGTTCCTTTCACCTCCAAATATGGCAACATTCAACTTTTTATTTGACAGATTATTTTATTTTCCTTTTATCTTTCTCAATGAATATTATCTGAGTAGCAAATGTATTTCAAATCCTCCATTCTTCAAAAATTATGCTCCCAATATATTGTAGGGAGATTTTTCTATACTGCAAAAAGAGTACACTCATCTCTTAATCTGTTAAACCCAACTCAAGACCCATTATCTTATTTATTTGCATTTTTTTTAAGATTCAAGTTCCCGGGGTGTCTGGATGGCTCAGTTGGTTAAGTGTCCAACTTGATTTTGGTCATGATCTAGCGGCTCATGAGATCAAGCCTTGCGTCTCTCTTCTCTCCCTGCTCTTGCCCCTGTCTCAAAATAAATAAATAAACTTAAAAGAAAAAAAAGATTTCAAGTTCTAGGAGGACAAGAGCACTTCATTTAATATTATGTGCACTGATATAGAATGTAGTGCTTTATTAGAAAACTGTAATTACGTTAAAATGTTGATCACAGTGATAGCAGAGGGGAATATTCTAGTATTGTACGAGAGGGGCTTCCTTTCTAAACAACAGCAGTGACACAAGTTGAGGAGATGGAGAACTATCACAGTTGTGTAAAAGTGAATTAAGAAACTTTTATTACCTTAGTTTCTTTCCTCCATCTGCAATTTTAGCTTTTTGAAGATATCCTTCTTTTTCAACCATCTGCAAGAAGAAAGCATAAATTAAAACTGTGACAAACTCCTGTGCATTATTATTTTGAATGAACCTATGCTCTCCAATAGTCATTGCAATGATGGAAGTTTCCAGTCACAGAACGTCATTAATAATGCATATATAGCTTATGGGAAGTGTCTGCAAGATCATAGTCCTTACAAGCCGTTAAATATCCAAAAGAAAGATTACAAAGAATAATGTGAATGATTTATTAGGTGGTGACACACCTTTATTCACTTTTCTCTGTGTGCACTGAAGTCTCTTGCTTACCAAGTTGATTAACAATGGTAAAACAAAAACACATTTAATGCCTTTCTTAATTTTACTGATCATCCTTAGAAAAGTTCTTCCTTTTCACACCTAATCCCCACTACCTCATGTATCTGCTGAGGCCAGGAAGTTAAAAGAATTCCATGGAACCAAGTAACTGAGCCAATTGAATTGTGAAAGGGCATTTAAAACAGTGACATTTCACACATTTTGTTCAGTTACCAAGAAATATTGTAGTAGCACTATTTCATTATCTTCTTCTATAATATGGGTTTCCTTCTTTTCCCATTTGTATTTATTGGCTTTCCTTGCTAACATAGATGCAAGTTTCTTAAAGGAGTTTCAACAGTTTATTACAACTTCATAGAGTTTTTTGTAGACTTCTAGGGTAAAGAAATGTACAATGCTGATTGTGATGTGTTTACTGCCAGCATAGTAGTCATTTAATTTCTGAGCACCCCATTGCCCCTTTCCTCTGTTGGTCCCACACACCCTTATCTCAAGTCCTTACCCTGTGTTCCATCATTTCACTCTAGATGAATTCCCACACTATATGCTAGAACCTTCTAGAAGTCACCTGCCTAACATCAAAGGATACATTCCCTCAGTTCCACCCTATATGCTTTCTCCCTGCCTGTAATACTCCATCCCAACATGTCTCCATCCCATAAACTCCTAAATCCATTAAATCTACTTTAAAATGCAATCTATCTGTGTATTGTTATAGGATCCTTCCAACATTCCTCTGCAATCTCTTTTAAGTGTTTCTGCCCTGAATTCCATTTTCATTCTGCCATTATCACTACCATAGTGTAGTTGTTCATTTACAGTTTCCCCCCTTGATCTGCAGGGGATATATGCCAAAACCCCCAGTGGATGCCTGAAATCATGGATCGCGCCAAACTGTATAATACTATGTTCTTTCCTATACATCCAGATCTGAGATAAAGTTAAATTTATAAATTAGGCACAGTAAAATTAACAACAGCTAATAATAAACTAAAATAATTATTATAATAATACACTGTAATAAAAGTTATGAGAACATGATCTCTATTTCTCAAAATACCCTATTGTACTGTACTCACCCTTCTTGTGATGAGGTGAGGTGAAAAAATGCCTACATGATGAGATGAAGTGAGATGAATGATGTAGGCATTGTGACATCGCATTGGGCTACAACTGACCTTCTAATGATATGCATGTCTGAAGGAGGATAATCTGCTTCCAGACTCGATGGACCATCAGTAACTGGAACCATGGAAAATGAAACTGTGAATGAGGGAGACCACTGTATGTGGTTTGCCTGCACCTGCGCAGTGTGTGATTCTGCCTTTCATACCTGGATTCCGAGCACCTACACCACACCTACAGCTACTTGCTGACACCAATAATCACAAGTATAAATGTAGTGAAACAAAGTAGTGGATGCGTGAGTGACTATTTTAATGTTTCTTAAAAATATTTATAGAAGAGTGAAAAAAAACAAAAAAAAATCCATCTGCATAGGACAGGTGAAAGGAAGAGATACTTGGGGACAAATAAATTATCCCAAGACACTGAAGTTTCACCAGTTCGTGAATTGGCTATTTACAAGACTCGCTCTGATGTAGGAGAGACCTTTTCTTCTAATTGTTCATTATGAAATTCCTAATACATAGCAGAGTACTTGCCCCTAAAAATATATTTGATGAATGCATTTAATAACAATGATGAAGGTACCAATAATGATCCATAGCAAAGTTTTTTTCCACATGTCTACATTTCCAGAAAGTTCCTTCTATTTCAGCATGTTCTCTGCAGTCTAAAAGAGTCTATGGAGGTCTCTTGGATAATTTTCAGAATCATGATGCTCAGTGGTATCTTTTGTGTACTTGGATGCATCTATTTGTTTGTTTTCTCTACCTTTTATTTTATGTATACTGTCCTTGTTTCTCGGTGCCAGGAAATTTTGTTTGTCTACCCCCTAAAACCCATGTAATAAGTTCAGTGTTTAACTCTGGGCATTACTGATTTCCACAAATGTTTGGAAGAAGGATGTTTTCAGTAGCAATTAGCGTCACAGGGATGGTCCCTTTCTTTAATAATGTATATTGGGAAATTTTGTGGTGTAACCATAGACAAAATTTATTGTTTTATTAAAGCTTTCTTCTGATGAAAATAAAGTAGTTACCAAAAGTCTGAATTTATCTGTCAAAAAGGTACAAAACCTCTCAAGCCATCATAAAAATTGATGCATTCATTCTCAACTAAAAATATTGCCTTCCCCCCACCAGATTTTTCACTATAAGACCAGTGGGTGGATATTTAGTGCCCAGAATGTATTATTGATGATCATTTCTTTAAAGAGGGAAGAGAAATTCAAAATGAAAAGAAAAAAAAAACCTAATAACTCTGAGGAGAACCAAACATAGCCAGCCTGAGATACATATTTTAAAATTCTCTTTCCCTGAATACATAAGAAATGTTTCTCCAGATACTGTGGGACCTTTTCAGGATACTGAGATTGAGATGAGGACTGGATTCCTCATGTCAGGGCTCTATCAGTGTAATATCATTGCTGTAGAAATAGGCTGAGCCAGTTCCCATGATCTTGAATCAAGGCAATACGGTTTCCATGCTTGACCACACAGAGGACCCAAAAAAAGGAAAGAAGAGGAGTGACTAGCAAGTTAGTTTTCTTCTCCTATATCATCTTCCAAAGTCCAGGCTGCCTTTCAGGTTATTAGAGGTAGCTAATAATCATCCTACTACATACTCTAACTATACTTATGACTACCATAGATATGTTTACATATCTACATGTATTTACATGTAGTTATATACATGTACAATCATCATGCACATGTTCCCATTTCTGGGATGAAGTGTTCATTCTTCTAAATTACCTCTTCAGTACTTCATGTATGCTCATTCATTCAATGTATTTTCAGTTAGTAACATCCTCTTCCCCTTTAATACCAGCTGCTTTGCTCACAATGGGACTGCAAAGATTTATAGGACACTCTTAACCCTATCGACGCTTATATGCTTGTGAGCTCACATTAAAAAGTACTTATGTTCCTCTCTTTTGTGAACTGGATACCACACTCCCTCCAGTCATCTCAGTGACTCAGGCCAGTTTCTGCTCTGGAACAGAACATTCCAACCAGTCTTCCTACACTGAAAACACTGCATTATTCTAAGTCCCCTGCTATAAGCAACACTTCATTCTTTATTATTTCTTGTCATGATACCTTGAAATACCTCACTATGTTTCAGGAACTAGAAACCAGTTAATCTGGAAGGCTCATAGGAGGTGAAAGAAGTATTAGGACAAGTAAAAGATTATTATGTATTTTGTCTATGGGTGTATATATGGCACCATATTCATTATTCTAATTATTTACTCCTACTCTATGTTAATCCCATGGATCGAAGGGATGATAATCTTTAAATTACAGTTGAGTATGCTGGTCATCTAAGATTCAGATGGTATTATAGCTAGTAATTTCCAAAATTTTGTATAGTTTTATGTCTAAATTTAGAATATTATATGGCAAGTTCCAGGCCAACCTGAAATTCCTTGAAGTATAGGCACCCCTAAACTTTGCATACTTAAGAAATGTCAACCAATCTTTAGATACTGAATCTGGCTTCTTAAGCAATTTGTCCAATGTCCCTCCAACGGCCTATTTTTTAATGTTAAGTGGCAGGGAAGATCAGCAATTTGTCCGAATTGGATGCCAGCCAGTCTGCTACATTGAAGAAGTACTCAGCAGACACAACTGTGCTGAGATACAGATGAGAAGAATGAATGGCTGTGGCATACCCAGATAGCACCTGTTTATCAACCTAAGTTGGAGGCTATAGACAAGGCAGCAGAGCAGAAGACAACCTTTGATTAATGGTAGCAATCGTGGAAGAAAGACCAGCCTGTAACCGAAAGTACAGACACAGCAATTTATTATGTGAAGACTTCATGTTGTTCTCAGATAAAAGAAGTAGACTTGAAAAGAATAGGCTTTCATCTACACCAGTCCACCACAAGAATGCTGTGAAAATACATCTTTATTAATAGAAATGAACTGAATCTAAAGACCTTCCCCAGATTTTGATGAGAAGGGGTTGACTTTTAACACCAGAATCCCACAGCCCTTATGCCTTACAATATTTGCTGTGTTGATGTAGTTAAGTTATTGTTCTTTTACTCTTTGTTTTGATTCTGTGTTCACTGGCAATCTCTGACTCCTAATTCAGCTTTTGAAATCCTCTGAGGTATAACATGGGTGACTTTAAACACTCAGTATCAGTGTATCTCCCATTATAAATTTACAAATCAGAGTTATTGTTTATACATCAGCTTCTTACAAATTTGGTTTCTGTGAGATAGTCTCAAGGGATCATGACCATTAATAAATAAAGTTTTTCTAGATCCACAAAGCTGAGGCAGGCCCCTGCCCTGAACTGAACTGAGCCTTCTAAAGTAGTGCCACCCTGTGGAACTTTCTATATGACTGACTGATCTTCCTCTATGATAACTCAGCATCATCTCTTTATAACCACAACCCTGGGTCACTGTAGCTTTCAGATTAACATTTCAGTATTTTCCTATTTAATAGGAAGGAACCTGTTATATTTTTTCCCAAACTTTTTATAGAACGAAGTACTTTGCTGATGATTTTGTTTGTTTAGATGATTTCTATTAAAAAGCGCACATCTGGTTATATCATTTTACA